GCACTAGTAAGCAGGACGTCGTGGGTTCGAGTCCCACCCAGTGGGATGTGTTTCGGATGTAAAAAAGGTTAGGTTTACCAACAAAATGCATGTTATCAGATCTGAAATATTTAGACTTCATTAAATCGGAGCTCGCATTGGCTTAATTTGATACCAGGCGTGATGCCGGTATCTAATAATAAAGTATGAGTCTCTACGAGATAGCGTCAATTCTCATGTTACATTTATTCTGCCTGTAAAGAACAATCTCAGTTAATGACACGTTGGTCTCCCGATGGTTACAATGTCTATAGTTCTGAAGAGAAAATGAGTCAAAAGTATTTTAGGAAATGAGGAAGTTGCTTGGATTCTTAAAAAATAAAAATAAGGCGACACGAGAGCAGCAGGACCAGCAACCCCCTGCTTACAGCACAGTCAGGTGCTCAATACTGAGCTATCCGGTTCAAATACCTGCATCAATGAAGTATTGCTTATGGCTCGATAGCCGTGCACTGAAATCAGTGCACCGATGGGCAAATGTACATGCTAAAAGAGGTGAACAATACCAACAATAAAATATTGTTATATTCCCCTTTCAGCAAAAAATATTAACCCATCTAGGTGCAAGTAGTCAACAAATCCAGCAGGTGCATGAACCCATCTTTGAATGGGGTGGCAACCGACCCAGAAAAGTCTTTGTTTCATTGCCTTGACAACATGGCATCTCACCTATTGGACGCGCCGGCGTATTTTATGCCAATCACCTTCACACATGCATATCATATAGGTAGTTGAAGTGTAGTAGGTTCAAACCATGTACATGACAGTACTGCACAACCTATAGAAAAACCTTGTGTGTAGTAGATAGTGGGCTGGATTTACACGACATGCGAAATGGGAGAGTTTCAGTCAAAAAAGGAAACCTTGTTCGTGTTCTCTTGTATTGTGCTCTCAGGCATTGTGATTTGTAGGCTTACAAAACCTCTCATGCACGACACGACAATGGGTGCCAAAAGCATAAACTGGTGTAATATGGTGAAAGAAAATTGGGATTGTTGAGATGATTTGGGACGAACAAAAGTTTCTGCTAAATTGGAAGGAAAAAGCCGTTTGCTGGATTGTTATGAAACTAGCAGGACAAAGTTTCTTTCTACAAGCACGAAACCAAACCACCGGATCAGGTATTTTCCTGTATTTCAGTGGAAATAGAGGCACATGCCCACTTAAGTTACAGAATGGAGTTTCACAATTCCAGGATATTATTATGTTTCTCGGTGTTCGATTTTGAAACCCTCTAGATTTTGAAGCAAGCTTTCCCAGACAAACCTGAACGTGGCCACGAGGAAAATTCTCACAATACGTTCCACGCTGGTTGTTACTGCAACCAACTTCCTTTTGTGTGTTAGCAGGTATTTCACTGAAAACGCTCCAGGCCCCTGAACCGTGTGGCAGAGTGTCTATACACCTGTACCTGTGGAATTTGATTCGATTGGGGGAAAAAAGAAGGGGAATAAAATCTGAGGTCTCTCCACAAAAGCTCAGGTGACCTTTGACACTGCGCACTTAAAAAGGGAAAAGGAACCCAAAAGAAATTATGAAATAGGAAAGCAGACAAAAGGCGCAGTGTGTCGTCACGGCCGGTGTAGCCCTAGCCCGTCAATCATACATTCAAGCGTGGATTTGCCGTTTGAAAGGGGACTTTAGTCAGCCTTGTTCTGACCGGGGATTTGCTTTGGAATATTTTATGGCAAACGCTGAAAGCCCCTGCCACACGGCGAGCGATAGACCGAAACAGCAAGACACCTCGCTGGAAAAAAATACAGAAACTTAGTGGAGCGATAAGCATTTTTTGGGGGAACAAACTCGTTGGGAAGGGCAGACTCGCTAGGCGTCGCAGTGCAAGTGATGCATCAACGGAGGACAGTTGTTGGTTGTGTCCCATGAACAATGTCCACGCTTGCCATGGGCGTCGCGAGGGGGGCAAGAGGGGGGGGGGGCCCGAAAAGCAAAAAAAAAAAAAAAAAAAAGAAAAAGAAAAAGAGGCGCGAAGTCATAGTAGTGTTAATTCGAGAATGTTGAGAAATACAGGATATTTTTGGGTAAAAATATGTTTTGCCCCCCCCCCCCTCCAGAAAAAAATACCGGCGACACCCATGACGCTTGCCAGCCCTACCGATTTGGACGGCAGGCAACCGAGTTCATCTTCCGCTTATCTATCTCTTTCGCTTTTAGTCATGACATGCAATAACAAAAAAATGTAGACATGCATGACAAGCAGTGCAATATAAATTTGAATCTGATTTTGCCCTGAAGGTACATATATTTTATAATTTTCTAAATAATGATAATAAAAAGGTAAACTCAGGAGTTCCATTGTCGACAGCCTACATCATCAAGTTCCAACCAAACTAATCGATTGCTTTCTCGCGTTATTTGTCTCGTGCGTCTTCATGAGAGCTGTTGTTTTAATAAGTACAATGTATTTGATTTGAAAGTCTGGAAATTATGTCGGCCAATAATTGCTTTAAAGTTAGGATCGACAACATTTGTATCAATCAGTCGCTTTATAGACTGGAGATGGGGTGGATACTTGCCTCAATGTGTGATATTGCAAGGTCCGGTGTCGCATTTTGAAGAAGTTGGGCGGGAATGTTCACAACTTATCCCCGTCTAAGATTTTAACTTGCGAAATGCCGTGTACAAGTTCCGCAATGCCTATACCATGGTTCCCCATTTGTTTCCGTGTAAAGTAAAGAAATACGCAGTTTGCCCCTAAGAATCTACATTCCATCAGCGGCGATTCAAGGTCGGCGCCCCAAGCCACCTATGGAAACAAAGGCCGCTGCTCTGTGGGGAAACAGGGTGACTTCGGAGGCAAGAAAAGGAGCACACGGGATGAGGTTTTGGAAGATTGAATGCAAGCATATACGTACGGGTACTGTGTGCATCCGTGAAGCCCACACAATGGAGGACTATAAGGAGAAACCAAAGAAGTTGAGGTGTAAAGCAAACAACATGCTCTGGAAAAATAAAAATAACTATCAGTCGATCTATAGCAACATCTTATGAAGCACCCGCCAAGATTGTTGAGTCACTTGCAAAAAAAAAGGAAGGGGTGTTTTCAGGAATCAAACGAAATGCCGTATTAAGTCAATTGTGTGATGTTGGATCAATATGCTTCTCTGTACAAACACTTCAAATTTGTTGTTTGTTAAATGTACGAGTTATTCAAACGGATACGTACGAAACAGTGTTACCATTTTTGAGTCAAACGCTTATTGGTGACATTGGAAATGTTCAAGTCAATTTCAAAAGACGTTTTATCAATCGGTTAACTCTTTTATATTCAGGTCAAGGTATACAATTGAAGACAAATCTTTCAATGGTAATTTTTTTCACTTTTGTGCATCAAAACGTTACCAAAGCTTCAAACAGGGAGAAAACTGCACTAATTGATTTTTTAACATGAACACAAATATCACTATACTTCAGCAAAGACCATAAACAGCAAAAATTCCGCATTCTATGCCTGCGAATGTTCCAAATCATCCGTACATTTAATACGAGCTCAAGTACTGTTAGTATACATTTTCGCACGCCAAAATTAATGTATTATCAGAGATCTCTTTTGGCACAATGTTGAGTTTTGCCCATAGCTGATGTCCACGAAACCAAGGGGCCAAAAATCGATGGAAACGCCATCTGTCCCGTCGAAAAATTGATAGGAGCACGAAGGAGCGAAATTGGACGCTTTGTGCGTAATGGGGCCCCACCGATGAACGGTTAACAATGAGAGCAAGCCGCTCCAGGTTCACCTGTGCCGTACTCGGGCGTCGATACAAGGGGACGCAATCGATACTTTGGGGGCAGGGAGACGTGGTTGAACAAGGGCGCCAATGCTCAAAGAATCCAAAATCTTTATAACTTGTTGCCGGAGGCAAGGCTTAATTTACAAGTACTCAATCCGTCACTCTCTCTCTCATCCAGTCTTCTTTCTCACCTGGGGTAATCAAACCCCTAGTTAGAATGGAGAGGTTTCGGGAGATGTGAATAAAAAAAACCCCAACCCGATGATGCTGTAAGGTGACCAGGTATCAACGGATAATTTTCTGAAGGGGCAAGCTGACAAAAGGATTTCACACCTTCTCAAGGTTTGGTAACGACTACCAAACGCATGTTCTCATTCGGTTGAGGGTCAGTAATTGATATTTCTGCCGGACATCCATCAGTGTCACTTACATGTAAAACAGTTTTCGAAAGCCACTTTCAAGACACAACGGTAACAACTGAAATTTCCAGTTGATTTTGTGTAATATCACACAAGAATGTGTGGATGTTTTCAGGCATTAAAACCTGTGTAGGCCGATCATGCTGCATTTAGCGATGCAAGTGTTTTCATTCGTATGGCCAAACTGTATGTGTTTGTTTGTATAGGCCTACACCATCAGAATCACCATGTATACACCGAATTTGTTTTTAACTGAAAACGGTACCTGTGACGTAATGAGCCTCTATTCGTTGCGTCGCCAGGGAACTTTACGACTTTAAAACTTTCAACTTTTATCTCACTTCTCATTAGTCTTTTTTTGACCATACAATATAGCCTATAATATCCATACAAGACTTTAGTAAGGAAACGTTGTATTGTTATTAAAAGGTGGAATAGATCGCAATAATCGGGTGCGAAAAATTTGGCCATGAAAAAATGGACCACTCTATATAACAAAACTGTGGATGTGGACACAACACAACGGGGTCTACCCGATGTTCCCCAATACCTATGTTCCCCAAAATCCTTAGGCCGGTTAGATGGTTAGGGTTGGGGAACATAGGTATTGGGGAACATAGGTATTCACCTCAATACAACGCACAGATAACAATGTGTAACAACACAGTCCAAGGTAGACAAATCCAGAATTTAGTCCAAATTTCACTTGGTAAACAGTCTACGTTTTAAAACTGGATGCCTGGCTCAATGGCACATTTTTGTACAAACACCAAAATAAAAGTTGAAACAGCAGTTGTTTCCCTTTCAGAAAAAACGTTATCGTTTAATATATAATTTAAGTACTTTTCAACATTTTTAATTATTTCCTTAGGTCTACAAATAAGTACAAAAGGGTTCTTTATTCAAACCTTAAAGCAACGATACCCTAAGTATACAAAAAATGCTCGTCCTTTGAAAATATGATTACAATTAACAGAGAGAAAACGTAACCAATAATTGGAAGAAGTCGATACCAAAAGCGACATTAATAATTCAATAAATGTTCTTCAAGAAATGAAATCGGTGATTCCATTAATTAAAGAAAGTCGGTGTTTTAGTTTGCTTTCAATCATCTTGCAAATCTGATTGATTCAAAAACTGTTCTGAAAGCTATACAACGACTCACAACAGCTCTTACGATGAGAATCGTTAATAGGAATTCAGGCTAGATTATAGGTTTAACATAGTAAACTTTAGATGACGTCTCTCAAACACTAGTTTGAATTAAACAGAGACCGATGCTAGACGAACGCATGGTCTGTACAATAATTGGCATCATAAACCATAATTTGTCACATTTTGTCGGGTCGAGATTCACCACACCACTTGTTAAAATCACGCTACTAATACAGTCAATTAAGGTTCGCTAGGGTATTATATCGTTTGCACACAGCAGGTGCCAAACAAATGCGAGCATGTGAGCACACCTAAACACTCTGTTTCGATCGGGACAAAAATCAAGAAGCACATTTTCAAAGTCTAATGGAATACTGTTTGGTTTACCAAATTGGATCATTAAGTATGAAACTACCACATCATTTTGTTGGACAAATATTGACATTAACAGTTCATCGTGGTACTAACATTTAGTAGTTATGCTTTGTACTTCCATTTAAAGGCAGCAAATTAAGAAGAGATATTTCGTAATTTGAAACTCATCCGTTATTTTAACTGAACTTTGTAACACCAATCCTCAGTATTCTTCATTCAAATTTATGATGGAAAAAAATCAATATCGAAAAATTGCATTGGAGAATGTTACTGTTGCAATGCTTGAAAATTTCGACTACACATGTCATTATTGCAGTCGAGTCTCGTTAATACAAAGTTACAAACTCAGCTGGACCTATAGCCAAAATGTTCGTTATAGCAGAATTTTGTTTTAAGCGGAGTACTCGTTCCATTCATTGCGCACATATAGGCCTATAAGCACAGTCGGGACCAAGGCATCACGTTTGCTTTAACCTGAATTTGTTTTAACAGTGTTTGTATTAAAGAGAGACGACTGACTGTAAATCCCACTACAATGTACGGTATATCAGCGTACTACTAAGATGTACGACTTGGTTTAAATATGTCCCCTAAACTCGGTTTTAATTTCGAAGGGCTTCCTGAATTCAATTTGAATTGTGAGCACATGCGGTCCATGCATGCTAAATGCAGCAGTCTTCGTATAGGCCAAGTAAATACAGAGTACAGTTTGTGAACGGATTACACCAAGGTCGGTCACTGTACATTGTACTTCGCATTAAAAAATTACAACTTCAAGCAGATAGAAAAGAAACCAACCAACCGGAAACCGGAGCATCGCTCCATACTTTTATGTCCCATTCTCACCAAATATTCATGGAAGATTACCCATTGTATTGCTACGGTCGGTGAACACGTCCCCCTTTCGAGAATGCCGTCAAGTTTTAAGCGAAGAATTTCAAAGTTTGATCCAACAAAGATAACCTTTAACCCCTCACAAATCTGCACAAAGCGATGTGAATGGAACTGTACATGCCCCGTGTCGAGTTTTTTTTTGTGAAGTGTACAACAGAGGCAACCCGACTGTGATCAATGCCTAGGCAAATATAGTGCACTGGACCAATTGTGCATTTCCAAGTTGATAATATATTCTCAAAGTAAACATTCAAAGATAACCGTGTGAAAAAAAACCCATTTTTTTTGAGGAGGAATTCTCAAGTTTTGTTTTGACATTCAGCATTCTTTTGGTTGATCTTACTTAACAAAGCAACACTTGCAAAGTCACATGAGAAAATGTGAAATTCGTCTGATAAGGATCACAGTGAGAATTTAAACAGGAGTACCATTATTTTGCAACATTAAAAAACAATCTATAAAAAGGAAGTTTTTAATCCTAGAAAAGTACAGACCATATTTATTTAACTGTTTTCAATTCGGTTCTTGGAGAATTTCCCCCAACAGGAACTCACTGACATTCGAAATAAATAAAAAAAATATATATAATATAATACATGCTTGTGTTTTAGATCTAAAAAGGACAGAAGCTCAAGGTATTGGTTACGACAAATGAAGCGTACCGTTAGCATTCGGTATCTGTTGATCCCTCGTTCGTACAGAGTTTATCTACATAAACGTTACGATAGGTGTTAGTCAAACCGATTTGGCCTAAATTGTAGCTTCTATATTAAATGTGCACTAGTCCAGTGCAATTTTGTAATTATTCCCAAGGGAAGGCGTCTTCTGTTGCAGGAAGATTAAAGGTGATGTGGTAATGACGATCCTGAGTTCTTCATCTCGGAGGTAATCTGGAAGATACTTTTGGAATTGAGAATAGTTGTCACGGATAAGATTGCATAGAAATCTGTATAGAAACCGAAGATCAAGACAATCGAAGGCGTAAATCATCGCAAACTATGACCGTCGTTCGGGATAGGGGAAAAATACCGAGTCCCATAACCTTTTCGAAAAAACAAGACCTTTACCTAAAAGTAAATGTTTAAAAAACTCACACAAGAAATAACACCTTGTGAAGTCCCATTCCAGAGGACCCAATCACTAGTGGGCTCAGTAAAACATTAAAACAAGGGACAAAGAGTATCGATTAGAATTTAAAATATATATATTTTTTTCGTTTAAATACTGATTGTTAGGTTTCTTGGCGACTGACTTATCACAGGTTATAAATGATGGATACAAAATATACAAATGGCAGTAATACAAAGACTATGTACAACGGCACCATGGGTACTTGGAGCACTTCAGGTGTTCATTAGATAATTAACACTGTAGCCAAATTTAAGAATATCTAAAAGAAGTCCCAGATTCACTGCAAAAATCCTGGATGTCAGATCAGAAAAAGAGAAGGCAATTCTTGGTTGAGTTCTGGTACCAACGGGCGTCTGTCCGCTGGTAAACTGCTTTGTATGTATCTTGCGCACTGATGCCGTGCAGAGATGGTCGCTGCAACGCTAAATAGTTATCCAAGAAAGCCGGCGTTTATACAAGCGACGATTGTTACCGATACAGCGGTAATAATACATGCAGTATGAAAGCCAGAGAGTCGGATACAAAGAAATAAAATTCCTGTACAGGTGAAATGCGAAGAGGACGCAGATGCCTACGATGTCACTCAAGACGTATGGCCATGAACTTGGCGACTTAATGTACGCGCACGTGAATAGAACCGAAGCTGAGGGTTCGGTTTACTCAGTCATTACTCTCTTTTTATACAAATCTTTATGCAGGCATTATTCGTCAGTACCTCGATGGCAGTGTTACGTTACAAAAATCACGTCAATAATCCAGCCCAGGGTTCTCCGTCTGTCCAAGGCTTTTTTCCCTTCATAATATGTACACGAATACGCTGTGCTGTTCGCCGGGAATAAAATACACTATTTACATAAATAGGTCCATAGTGCACATGGTAAGGAGAAAGACCACAATGGTGTCACAGAGGGCACCAGTTGGGCGGCTGGGTTTCTGCACAAAGCAATGGTGGTGTGTGCTGGGTTACCACTGAAAACAAAGTGAAGTGCAAACAGATTTTCCCCGGAGTCCGTCATCTTTCACATGGCTTATACAACACAGCCAACATGATGCGTCATCGGTTCACCGTACGGTTATAAGCGTAAGCTTCAAAGACGATGTGTACAAAGACACAACGGTCTCAGGCATAAAGTGTACTAGTTGTGACAGTATCTAATCAGTGTGCTGGATGTACGACTTGGAACATTCCTCAAAAATGCCCGGCATCAAAAACGTTCAGAACAATAAAAACTGACGCAGTGGGGTGAGAAAAAACCAGAAGAAGTGCACGTCAAAGGCTGTCGAGTACATGACACAGTACTCTCATCATTCTGGACCAGTCAGTGTCCGTTTTCAGGGGGCGATGGTCCACAATTAGGGCGTAAAACGATCGGCTTGGCCGACTTTAAAAAGGCTTCTATTTATATATTTATATATAGACAGAAAAAGTGTCTTTCTCAGTCATACACTGGCTCAATCAATGGAGACTCAGTCGTCCTCTGGGAAACTCGCGAGTCTCTTTTCTCGGTTGTTATTGTTGTTGTTCTGTTCGTTCATTTCCCTAGTCTGCTTTTTTTGTCTTTTCCTGTCTCGCCGCCTGTCTTCGCGGCTGCGTCTGGTGCTGCCCTCGTTAGCGTTCTCGTTGGTATTATCATTATTCGGCCTGTTGTGTTGATCTTCGTACCTCTTACACTTGCAGCTCTTGACTGTACGAATTCGGTAAGTCCTGGTCTCGTTGTTGTCGCACACCAGGTGCACCCTTCGCTGCCGCACCACGTCGTTAACGCACCGCCATTCCTTGGTCTTGGTCCGGCCCCATATTTTCATGATATCACCGCCCGCGTCCAGCAAGGTCTTGGGCACACATTCCCCCGTGCACACCATCTCTGTGATGGGTCTTGTACTCGTGCAGAATCCATCAGATATGTATCTCTTCGAGCGTAGCTCCGTGCAGGACAGATCATCTAGCAAGGCAGAAAACAAGGCAAGAAAAATCAATATGCGAAGATCAATCGAACGTGCATGAACAATTGAGAAGAGGGTTGCGCACCATACTGACAGGCTTGCTAGAAATAGCTCACAGAAACAAAACTTTTAAGGCGAAAGTACGCGTCTTGAGTTGTTACCCACCACATATCAAGCATCGGTCAAATATCTTGGAGGGTAAACAAATCACTGTCCAAAGGTACTACCAGCAAACTGGAAATGTCAATATTGGTGAAAAACAAATTAAACATCGGCGCATCAAAATACACAATATTATTGTTGGCAATGCCCACGAGCCATTTTGTTTAGGTTATTCAATGGTGTGAACATTAGCCAAGTGAGTATTGTTTTCAATTACCGAGCGAACGATCCCTGAAACCACCGCAGTTTCTTTTGTTTCACAGCTAATCTTACTTCAAACCCAAGCGTTTTGTATACTGCCGCGAGGCAGCTCTTCACACCGCCACACAAGCCTATGGCAAACGAGTTGCAGGGTCTCTCTTTGATCCTATTTTGAATTTATGTACATGTACTTCTATTCAAGTACCATCGAAGAGCAAACAGATTTAAGGAGAGAAAGAGAGAACAAGTTGTAGCGCATGGGTATACATGGCCACATGTTATTCATGAGATTCAAGATGGCGGACTGCAAATCAGCTTGTCGCAAAGTACCTTGGCTAGCTGTTCCACGAAATGCCAACCCTAGTGGGAAGTTAGGATAGTTATAAATTCCCTCGCACGGAGGCGAAGGGGTCAGCATGTACAATGCTAAGTATTGATCGTTTACGTGCGTCGACTCCTACTACCCCTCGACCTTTTTGGTGAATATTAAAACCCTGCCCAGGGTCCTCATGCTAACAAGGGTTACTTTGTTACAAAAAGGTATCGCTCACTGACATTACACGAGGAAAAGGGTGTAGTTTCCTTATATATATAAACTTATCTTATCGTCAGATGCACTATGGAGGTTAAGACTCAATTAGAGATAAAATAATTGCAGCCATGTGAATTTGTTTTTAAATCAGAGATCTCATTAGATGTTCAGTGAAAGATAAGTAGTCCCTCGCAGTTAAAAAATAAAGTTAATGTTTTATGAAATTTATATCTAAAACATTATAAAAGCCTGATGTTCTATTGCGTATTTAGTACAGAATTTACGTTTGAGATAAGTTCACACTTAGTGATTTAGCGGGTGAAAATCGAAAGTATTATATGTCATTGTTATGCAGGTTTTTCCCCCCAACAAATTGCCTGAAAGTTGAAATTTCGTGGAACCACCATGCGAGCGAACACTTTTTGTGTCAAGGTAACACGTGTGTGGTTAGAAAGTCGCAACGATTTTCGCACACTGAATTCCCCTTTTATAATCTGCTGCTGTTGGATAGGAACCCGGACACACACATTAAACCTTGGCTCCACAAGAGTGGGCCCAAATCACCGAGGTCTACACTGGTTCACGAAGTTTTGTTCGGCAGTTGAATGGGTAATTGTGCTGCTACACAATGCTCTGCAAGGGCCAACCATGAATAATTATGATGAAAAATACTAGTCCCCGTATTGTTAAAATTGCAACGCGTACCCATTTAACCTTATGGCGATTTGGGGGCCACTCGGTGACTTTGATAACTCCACAGAACTTTGGATTTAATTCTCTGGCTTGTGTTTCCGAATTTTACCAGCAGTTTTTTTCCTACCAAAATTAAATCCCATGGATTGGGCCTGCATTCACCTGATGTGATGGTCACAGATGATTCGGTTTCAAACCACGACAAAAAAAATGAAGACAAACTTGGAAAATAACTTTGGTAAGTTAAGCGGGTCGATTGTTAAGATTTTACCCGTGTGCGTACGCGTTAAGCTATAGGTAGGCAAAAAAGGTGTGTCTTTTGGTGCGAATAAATCCATGCAAGGTCTCCGCTACGCCACAGGCGTGCAGAAGGGGAGCCGTACGGAAAAAGTTCGCGTGAAAGAACATTCTTTTCAAAGGGCAAGGAATATTGAATAAGCTCTTGCCTGTATGGTCAATGGACTGCTATTGTTTACATGCCCATGGGGTGTGTGGCACGGACTATATAGACTGTTTAGCACAAGCAGTGCATTCAAGCCTACCCTTTTGCCGTGTGTGGATACCAATGGTATCAATAGAACAGGGGACCTGCGCGTTTGCCAGCCCTTGGTCGCTCTAGTGTCGGTTAGCATTCAACATACCTGGGTTATAGGACGTTTCTGGTTCCTCGTCTCTATCTTGTAAGGCTCCTTCGTACATCCCTGAATCATGAACACTCACTCCTCTGTCGCTTTGCTCTTCCTGGTGAGCCAGAATCACTGGCAAAAAGTCTGTGATGGTACCATCCTCCTCCTGACCGTCCACAACCACCCCGCTCGCAATGCACATCATCGTACTCCACAAAACCGCCGCTCCAAGCCATAACCTCCTCATCGAAATCCACATGTTTACACCTGCCGGAGAGAACTCGCGCTGACTAACTGCCGGCGACTCCTGGGTTCTGTGGATAAAGTTTTACATGAAGAAAACCCGTCAAAAGCGCGGGAATAGACTATCATGGCAGGACTGCCTATAAACTGCAACTACATGACAATAGAATATGGGAACCGTGTACATGTACGTTTGGAGCTACCTATACCAGCACTGAACACGTACGTGTACACGGTGAGCACCACTGCTCGATTGACTCGCTCTGGCGGTGGGCGTGGCTACGACTGTCGATCACTCCAAGCGGTAAAGGCTCTCTGTGACGTAGTTTATTCACCGCTTCAGATCAATCTACACCGTGTCACGCACCTCATTTATTCAAGGCTTACGGCCGTGACAGTTTAACAAAGGCTTAACAATAGAGGTGGGCGGGGCGTAAACATGTCAAATCGATATGATATCTGAGTGTAGGCCGACGTATGAAATATATCGTACGAAAAGAGAGAGTTGTATCGCGGGGCTTTTAAATTCAGGACAGTTTTCAGATGAACTTTTTAAAGGCGCTTTCAGCCTCCAAATGCTTCTGTATAAAGTTTTATCTTCTATCTCCATGATTATACCAAACCGTCTATCACCTTGCGGTACAGCATTGTTGCTCAACAGTGATTAAATCCCACAAAGGTACATGAGGTGCGAAAAGGCTAATGAGTCCTAATTACTGTCGGGTCGCTCGGGAGGCTACCTGAATTTAACGGTACATTAATGTATACATGTGGATGTTTTTTTTTTGCCAAAATCAAACCGCGGAGTATGGATTCAGGCAGTTGCAGATGTGGTTCGGTCCGCGACTCGGAATCAAAAGAGGTCCAACTTGTGTGATACCTGACGGTGAATTGTTTATATGCACCTGTGCAAACTATACAGATGTCGGTCTCCATAGTGTGCCCCTTCCCCTCGCAGACATACTATTATTAAACATTGCATGTCACTCCTCGATAGTAGCATCTGTTCAGATTGATAGCAAGGTCAATCAACTTTATCTTCGAAAGCACACATATTGATGAGGTGATTATTATGATATCTTATTAGTCATATCTCACACAGTATTCAAAGAGTGCTCTAGTGGGAATTTCAGCCCCACGCACGCGTGGGTCTATTGCAAACACTTCTTTTTGCTAACTTTTAGTCGCAGAAAGAGCGCGGGCTTGTGATTGTTTAGTGAGTCTGTGTGTGGATTTCTCAGGAATTCTCAACGGCAGAAAATCGTGGATTCCACTTCCAGTTCGTGCAAATGCTCCCCTGCTTTGCAAACCTAGGAGAAAGGAGCAATTCCTTTAATCGTGAGTACGTTTGTGTGGCAACGGTCACGAAAACAACTTTCGCAATCAATAATATTTGCATTGCCAAAAGATATTTGGTTATCATGGACAGTGGAGATTTCCATAGAGACGTTGGATGTCGATGGTTCACGGAAAAAAATAATACAAACATTGAAATATGAAATATGATGAGCAATAGGTACATTAACGAATATTAGAATCTGACAAATTCCGTTTTGAAGTAAATGCTATTTTTTTAAAATTATTTATTACTGAAAACAAAAATTCATTTCAAATTTAATATAATTAAGGTGCACGTTGTCATTCATTTTCTTTGATAAATAACCCAAAATACATTCTAAACAAAAGTATTCTAAATATGATTTCAGATATTTTATTTGGGATAAGATTGGTGTATTTAGAAGATTTCGACTCCTTCCCTTTGAAATTTCGAGTCGCGTTTTAATCATTTGATTATTAATTTTTAACAGGACAAACTTTTACATTTGTTAATCCTAGTGAATCGAGGGGCAGGCAACGTTTTAATAACTAAAGAAAAACACACGCATATACCCCAAAACAAAGGAAATCTTGGTGCATAATAATTGTAGTAGCCCAAGTCGTAAAGTGTTTTGCGTTTCTACTTTCAGGGTAATTTGCAAACCAATGATGCCTAAGATACTACAATCCAACCCAAATATATTTATAAGGGTCTCCCTGCATGCAAAAAAAAACAATCCCAAAAATCACTTCTCAATGGCAACGAAGAGAGCGCAATATTTAATTTAATTAAACTAATCCTAAGAATGTTTCTAATGGATGATCGTCTGTTTGCAAGGCGTCAAGTCACGTTTACACGTTTGTCACTTAAAGTGACAAATTATTATTAATAATCATTTCTGGTAATATGAGACCAATGATTCCTCAAAAGTAGCTACCCTGGGCACCGTAGCTTACAAGTCTGAAGAAACCTGTGGAGATGTGAATATGTTAATGTTTTGTCGCTAGCGGTGGAAGGCGAGGAAAGTACCGCTACGCCAACCGGACTCCCTGTTCTCGATAAGCACCACTGAAAAATAAAGGAGCTGGCACCTTGATGGATTACGAAAGTATGAAACCTATTTACACTTCACGGATCTAACAGACAGTGAATCTTGTGTTTGTTTTAGTGAGATGCAACCATAACAAAAATATAAAAGGTTATTTGTTAAAAATAAATTACCATTTCCCACACAAACCTATATGAAAACAAACCAAACTAGTTTTCGTGTACTAGCAGTGTCCGTGTCAAGCGTGACCCCCTGCGTTGCATACTGGTGGGCATACTAGTCTACTGTCAACACCAAATTGTCGTAAAAGAACCTTGTATCCGACTATATCTAAATGATAAATAAGTAAAGTCTACAGCACACAGTTTTGATCTGAATGACAATGTTGACTCAAGATAGTATGTTTGGGGAATATTCGAGCTACGTCGGTGTGCAAACAGCACCGAACTCCAAAAACTGTTTTGAGAGACCTTCAGAAGTCTGTTCTACGGTTGTTTTTATGGTATGTCAGTCGGATGTGATTCATTATAATGCACTTGTTGTCCACTGATATTTTCCAGAGATAAGATACAAAAAGTACTTGTTTCATGGGTTTATCGTCCATTTTTCTTCAACGAAAGATTTGGGGTACCCGGGTTGGCCCTATCATGGGACTCGATGACAATTGACTGTTATGACATTGGATTCGCTTGTTGACCTCAAAAAATGCTGGGGGTCAAGAAGGCCGATAATTGCCACCAAAAAATAAATTATCAATCTTCAGGGAAGGGTTGATGGTCCGTAGTTTGAGTATTCGCAATATTTAGGATACAACTTGCACAAAACAGTACAGCTTCACATTCCATCTTTACGGGATTTGTAATCCGTCATTTTGGATTCCTATTCATTTTTATAAGAGTAAAGCCAGATTGGAAATAATTTTATTCCTTACAACACAAATATTTTGTTCACTGAGACAAATGGGCCACCGTAGAGAGTCCTTGGTCGTACTATGGTTACATTTTTATCAGTTTCCATTTTTGTTTAATTAGCATTAAAGCGCATCGGTCAGAAGAGGTTTGACTTAGGTCCTGCGAAAATAATGCTGAGGAAGTAAAATCTCCACCAAGACATTTTTAAAAAGGGCGATATATCGGGAATCATAACTTTATTGTAAATATGGATCAATAAAAAAATTATCAATAGCAAGTTAATCTGCGTAGAAAGGCTTCAAATCCCGTACTGTTGAGTTTTCAAACGCCGAGTCTCAAATCAAAAATGGCGGCTACATTGCGTTTGTAAAAGGCTATTTCTGGTGTGTTACCTTTTTAATTAACCTATCGCGGTAGAATCGCCTCAATCGCGTCAACGCAGCTTGTGAAGTATTGTCCAATTACATGATATACAAATGGACGCGGAACGCGCAAAATCTTAGACAAATAAAACTTAGCGTACACAATTCCATAGGGTTGTCTAATGGGCGTGGCTAACTCACAAGCGGCGGTAGGTCAATTTCAGCAGAAGCTCAGTGACTCGAAATAGCCCCTGATTCAGGGTTCAATCTGGGACACCGTACAGTACTTGACATACAAAATGTAAAGTTAGGTTATGGGCTTCGTCGCTAATAATCCAGGGATAAAATTTAGTGTGGCATGCATGTGTCATGCAAAGAAATTAGGCATGGAGTTTCACTGTTTTCAAGAGAACAACTGTATCATAGGAAACTGCATGGACTTCAACCGGAAATCTCGCAATTAGTGCGGCGCGCCCGGGCCGTGAGCTAACATGCTGGCTCATTGCGTATAAAATTAAAGAAAAAATCCGGCGTGTTGGACTGGAATAACTAAACTGCCATACATTACAGGTTAAAAAAAATAGAATTAACATTCGATTCTTTCGAATGCTCAGCCGGTCCGAATTGGCTGTTGACATTTAGTAGGTGTGTACAAGCCTATTGTACATTTGTACTAGTTTCCAGAATGCTTATTGTATTTTAGTATGGGCTAGAAGTGGATATAACAAGTTCAAAGCATACATACCCTACTCTCAACAAAACAATACTATGTGCAGCTCTAGAAAAAAATCAATGTTTATTTTTTTCCGTGCTTTTAAATTTAATTAAAAAGCTTGGCCCGTGTCTCATTTCCCTCCAACCTCAATACATGCATGCACAAGATGTTATAAAAATATTGGATAATGCTTGAAATAATTTCGAAACATATCATGTATGTATTCGACGTTGCACATGTTCGGACGTATGGAATTTGTGTTTTAAATATGAGCTGAACTGCAAAGGGCTTAAAAAAGAGGGTTCCGTCGTATTTTATCGGTACATTTTTATAATCAATTTTTAATATTCAGACTTGCGTGAAACATGTTTAGTTGATGTGTACGCCTATGACATTTACAAATTACATGAAACTCGACACTTTCCTCCAAGAGGATCTTTGCAGTTAGAATTTTTCAGCATATACCCGTTTTCTTCGCAATGAAAGTAGGCCTACGCCATACAAAATAAAATGATGACCAGTGAAGCATGATAACACGTTTGAGCCCCTGCAAAACTAAATGAGGGCCAACAAATGATTTCAACCTTTTGTTTATTTTTTTTTTAATTTCTCCCGCTTACACGTGAAAATAGTCACTGGTTTGAACTTGAAGTGGGGTAAAAATCACCACAAGATAAAACTCACCTTATTAGCCGGGTCTTCTCAGTGCACAGTTATCCAAATGTCCTTGACAAATCCGCAGCAAAGTGATAAAAGCGGCCTGTTTGTGTACTTTGTCTCAACTTTGTCTCCAAACAAACAAAGCCTGACCATAATGCGTAGTGCGCACCCGGTACCCCAGACAAGTTCACCGCGAATGGCGACCTACTCTATACGAGTGAGTAGCCTTGCCACGCCGGGTGAACCTCGCCGTCCGTTGGTGGGTTGTACAAGTCACTGTCTCTACTGCGTGTTTCACCTCACCGCCACTAGATTGTTTTGGCACTCTCTGTCATAATATGGTCATAATAACTGCCTGACTGATGTACAAGATAATGACACCACCATCACTTACGGCTTAGCAACATCATACAGCAGTGATCATGCATGAAAGTTCAACCGCGCAGCACTATAGCGCCAACACAGACTCTGAGGTCGGCCGAATGGGCCCTGTGCGTACTTGGCCTTGCATGCACAGCTAGCACTTCTTTACGTGTTATTTTTCTCACGTAAAGCACGTGTTGGTCTGGCTTCCGGAATTTATCATACTTTGCATCGCATGTGTCGGGCGGCAGAGAGCAGACGGTCATGTATCACATGCACTGTAGTGGCACTCTGCGTACGGATTTATATGCACGCGCAAAACGCTCCACACTACACATGACAATCATTGCACCGTCATTGCAACACAATGACACGTGATTCAACCTAATTAAATTGTCGTAATGAATATTCATCACCACCTGATTATCGTGCGCAATTGAACATTATCATAATACTTGGATGATTGGGGCGGGGCTAACAATATTTTAAGTCCACAGGACGGAGGAAAATTAGCTGTATCATGACACTATATCAAAGTTCTAAGCAACAACAGGCCTAAACATAATCAGCATAAGAAGAATCAGTCCTAAAACGTCAAACATCACAATATGTCTGTTACGAAAGTTAACTCGTCAAACTTATTTCTGACCATTTTATGGGAATTTAAGCAAGAACCCCAAATTAAGCGCTTCCTGAAAACAGCGAGGAAATGACGACTTTGTAGAATTAATTCGGGCACGAGACTTCACCCATGATGGATGAAGTCGGGTTGGTTAACGTAGCTGGCCTACCCATCATTCGGTGTTAGAGGAACATCCTATTCATCAAAAGGCTTTAAAAGGGCTAAAAAAAACCCAACTAGGCACGCCCTTACATTGTGTTCAATAAAACCCCCAAAACAAATCGTTATTTTATGCCCATTATTACTTAACAGGCAAGATGAAGTTTTATCCTTCAAAAATCGGCAACAGCATAACTCCATCTAAGAACGGGTAAATACAAATTTAGCTCATAACACCCCCCCCCCCCTAAAGGAGAACATCATCGTACAATAATGATTGAAGTGTGGGTATTATATGGCATGGTTAACCTCACCGTGGGAAAAACGTCAAGCCCTGCAGTTTTTTTTCTCAATGGACATCAGAAGTGATGGGAAATGTCTTGGTTATTTAAAAGTTTGTGGTGATATGTCAAATATTCGAAATAGAATGAGTTCCCCATCAATGTAGTTTGGACTTTCGATTTGAGCAAAAAAAAATATTTACGCGAAAATGTTTGACAGCACTGATGACAGTTAAGGGTTTTCGGTCTCAATTTGTAAACATTGAGCACCTTCAGGTGATGAGAGTTCAACTAACACCAAGGTATTTTGTAAGTTCGCCGAAAGCGCCTTTCCCGCGCCCTTGTTTTCCAAAACAAGAAAGTGCCAAGCTTCTCATGTCGTCCGTAGTATTTGTGAATGTCTGCAAAATGCACCTGCACTTCAATTAAAGGTATGCTGCAATCGTTTATCTACCCCTTAACGAGCGCATGCTATGCCAATTTTTAAAATGAAATCCTTGAAAATGCACCTTTACACTTTACCTGATTTTTAATTTTCGTTTCCCATTTTCAAGGGTATTTTGATGCATTTTTGGTTTTTATGCTAATTTGAATTTCCATATTCATGAGCAAAAGTGTGATGTCATTTCAGGCAGAAACCTCAATGTCACCGCTATTTCAGCACAAACAGTTGTTAGAATTTTGGCTATTAATTTTGTGTTGTGAATTTTCTGTTAATGTACAGTAAACACAATGAGTAACATGCGCCGGAAAAGCATGGAGAATTGTAAATTTTTAAAGAAGTGCATTTTTCAATAAAATTAACCAAAAGGGGATATGAAATAGTTCTCATACATTTAAGAGGAGTAGAATGTTGCACAAAATATGCGATGCTCCCTAGAAAAAAAAATCATTTTACAGACACTTTAAACCGGAACCGTATACGTGATAATCAATAACATCTGGGAAAAGAATGAAAGGCAATGTCATGAAATTTTCCCAAAGTGCAGACCTGCAAATTAAGCACCGGCTCTATGTTATCAGTTGAATGAGATGATAAGTTCATTATCAAGCGGATAAACTGCGCCAACTGCAGAAAAACAAGTCAGACAAAGTTGACAAAACAATCGGCTTGCCCTTGACTTATAGTACAGTGCAGATGGGTTTCCATCCATGTTTTTTAAACAAAATAACTTCGCTCTGAGTCCGACCCCCATGACGTCAACGGCGGATCTAGGAGGAGGGCAATGGGGGTCATAGCCACCATAGTAAAACAAAATGGGTTTGTTTTTTTTGCCCCCCCCCCCAACCCCCCCCCCCAAAAAAAAACCACACCATTTTTTAAACAAGTTTTTAGGTTTGCTTAAGAAAATGAGATTCTCGGAGGGCAACATTGAAATTGAGCCACCATGTACCAAAGCCACGAAGAGTCCTAGTGCCCACTTTGCTTTTCCTATTAAATTGTGGGCGGAAAACGTTTGGAACCAATTCTTCGGGGAACAAAAAAATTGTCAGACCCCCTCCCCCCAAAAAAATGTGTTCTGGACCCGCCCTGACGTATGCATGACGTATGCAATCCCACAATGGATGACATCTCGTAATGTATGTGATCTAAATTCATGTCATTGAACAGTAATATTCAGATTTCACTAGCTGCCGGTAATCCATTCTCATTATTAAAAATGACAAAGGGCACACAAGTCAAAAGTCACAAAACAAGCCAAGTGGTAACCTGCAAGAATTTTGTAAAATTACTAAAAAGTAAACATACTCAACGGTTCAACGTACACAGAAAATATTGAACTTGGTTTATCCTGAAACAACTGGCATCTTGCCAATTTTTTTTTGACTTTATGCCAACTATATCTGGGGGGCGCCAATGATGAACCTGGCGTGATATAAGATTACGTTTAGTTTGCTGCCTGGAATTTGGATAAAACAAAACAAAACAACGGCAGATGAATGCATTTACGCCCCATCCCTCATCATGACAGTGATGTGTCCAAAATCTCCGTTCCTTCTGGAGATTTCCTGGTAATTTTCACATTTTACAGTGGGGGTATAAATAAAAAGAAGGGGTATAAATGTGTGAAATCTTTGATAATGCATCATGTCGCGAATTCAGAAAAAGAAAGAACGAGGTCATAACTAGGCAAAAAAGAGGGCCTGGTATACAGGGGTATTATAAAAAGGGAAACCTTTACCAGGAAAAATCGACTTCCTAAAAACCACTCGACTATTATATGGGCTTTGTGCCTCTGACATCTAGTGACCGGAGTCTCTACATAATTATGATGACTCATAGTTTGGGGGCAGGCTGTTGAGATGGGCTAATTTTATCTTGTAAAAGAAGGTACAACCTGTTGCGCATATTTAGCATCATCGTTGCGTGACTTCTATTGAAAAAAAAACCTGTGAAAGTTCAAATGAACTCAGTTCAGTAATTTTGCAGTAAATGTCAGCTGCGATCTGGAAACAGATGGAATAAACTGGTGCACATTAAGTTGCCGGGAAAGACTGTAAGTTAATTGTACCATTTCCGCAACATTTTGCTATAATGGTGAGTGATAACAATAGTCAGAGGATGCTGAACGGCATCACAAAGAACGTGGGGAAAATGTTATCATCAGTGCTGGCCATGGAGCAGATTTTAATTACGAATAACAACGATATATTTATAAATTCAGGTTTCTTTTCCATAGTTTTCGCTCTTAAAGAAACAATCATAACAGTAAACGTTTGTGGTAATTCCTGCTCCTTTCTGAAGGATCTTTCGGATAATGTAAAACAGGACTGTCGTTGTTTCTCTTCACCAACCGATAATAGTGCCTACATGAAAGCAGTTTCATCTTGTCACTGCAAAGCGGTTAAATATTAATCAACACAAACACGAGGGAAGTTACATCACTCCTTTTCATGTACTCGTGCGCCGTACAACATATTGATTTATGTCTTTTGTTCCCAGTCACGTTTTCGGTAAAAGTAAACATCATTAAAGTTTGATCCCTTGTTGGAGAGGAGAGGGGGTGTTTTGTTCTCCCCTCTTTACGGAGTTGCAGGCGCGCGTACGGGGGCAGGTGTAACACACGACTGTTAAAGGTGGACATTCATCCCGAATCGCCAATGTGTATATCAAACTTGCTCCCATCTGACCCTATAACTAGTCAGCTGGGTGCACCTTTGACTGTTTTCTAGACAAATCTAACAAGGTGTTTTAGAGTACAGTGTTTTAGATTGTGTACTTACCATATCCAAAGATCTGGGTCAAAGGAAATCCACATGACGTCTTACATTTACAGAGAAAATGTTGCAAAACGTTTTTGTTTTTTGTCACCTGACGCAGCACCTATTTTTAGCCTTGCTATTATTTCCAGCAAAGAATAAAGACATCGGATCATGAGCCAAAGCTGTCTATACCAGAATGCAGGTGCCACAATATGCGCACCAAGCAAGATACAATTCTCTGTGAGAAATGTGGGCCCCAAAATTGTCAGCACAAGTGGTAAGAGCAAGTTATCAAGAAAAGTCTGATTAGAACCAAGACCAGCACCTCAACCATTCGAGTTTTGAAGGCAAACATTTTATTCACAGAGATTGTAACATTCATGGTTCTGCATCTCAGATATACATTTCAACTTTATAAAGCTTATAAAATTAAAATGCACAAAAGTTGGCAAGTCATATTTAATAAATGACTGCCTTATGGACCAATTTGAGAGTTTGATTTTATGATAACGGATGAAATATGCCGGGCTATTAACATACATGTATGAAAGCAAAAACACTGTTGAAGTACATGCTTTAGGACGTCGGGACACACACCATCATTACATTTATTCACGCGGGAATCACCTTTAAAGTTGTGAGCCACATGGGCAGCGCTCGACCAATGAAATGTCCACCACTCTAACCAAAGACCACCAAAAAAGTAACAGGTCGATTTTCGAATGATGAATAATTAATTTTTGGCTATCGAAGGACGCGCAGCAGCTAGTGGACGTGCCAGTGTTTCAGACTCGGTGTTTGTGTGTACCAAGCCCGCTAATGACGAATCGG